GTGTCTGTCATGATATTTCGTTTTTCATCATAGATGTAATTTGAGTTTTCTCTTTCCTTCTTTTCGTTAGCATTTCTAAGGGTTTATCAATTTTACTTATTTCTTCAAAGAACCAACTTTTTGTTTATTTTTCAAAGAACCAACTTTTAATTTTGTCAATTTTTTCAATTGTTTCTTTTGTTTCAATTTCATTGATTACAGCTCTGATTTTAATTATTTCCTGTCTTCTATTGCTTTTGGTGTTGATTTGTTTTTCTTTTTCTAGGGCTTTGAGAAGTAATGTTAGGTCATTTATTTGTTGACTTTTTCTTCTTTTAAGAAATGAACTCCATACAATGAACTTTCCTCTTACTACTACCTTCATAATGTTCCAGAGATTTCATATGTTGTATCAGTGTTCTCATTTACCTCTAAGAATTTTTTAATCTCCTCTTTGATGTCTTTTGCAACCCATTATTCATTCAATAGCTTATTAGTTAGTGTCCAGGTGTTGGAGTAGCTTCTATTTTTTATTTTATCATTGATTTATAATTTCATTCCATTATGATCTGATAGGATTCATGGTAGTATCTATTTTTTTATATGCTAAGAGTTGCTTTGTGACTTAATATATGGTTTGTTTAGAGAAGGATCCATGCGCTGCTGAGAATAAAGTATATTCACTTGTTTGATGGATGAAATATTCTATATATGTCTATTAGGTCTAAATTATTGATTGTATTACTGAGTTCTATAGTTTCTTTGTTTAACTTTTGTTTGGAAGATCTATCCAGTGGTGAAAGAGGTGTGTTAAAGTCACCCAGAATTATTGTATTGTGGTCTATTTGACTCTTGAACTTGAGAAGAATTTGTTTGATGAACTTAGATCCTCCATTGTTTGGGGCTTATATATTTATAATAGTTATATCTTATTGATGTATGGTTCCCTTAAGCAGTAAAGAAGTGCCCTCTTTATCCTTTTTGACTAACTTTGGCTTGAAGTCTACTTTATTTGATATGAGGATGGAAACCCCCACTTGTTTCCACAGTCCATGTAAATGGTATAATTTTTCCCAACCTTTCACCTTTAGTCTGTGTATGTCTTTTCCTATGAGATGAGTCTCTTGAAGGTAGCATATTGTTTTTTGTTTTATAAATCCAATCAGCCAGTAGGTATCTTTTGATTGGTGAGTTTGGCCATGAACACTCAGGGTTCATGATTTGTATTATGGGTTATATTTGTTTATTTTTGGTATTTACTTTGATTTGGTTTCTCCTTTGATTGGTATTTCCTTTAGAGTAATACCTCCCTTTGCTGATTTTCATTGTTGTTTTTCATTTCCTCTTCATGGAATATTTTGCTAAGGATGTTCTGTAGTGCAGGCTTTCAACTTGTTAACTTTTGTTTCTCATGGAAGGTTTTTAGTTTATTATCAAATCTGAAGCTTAATTTTGCTGGATATAAGATTCTTGGTTGGCATCCATTTTCTTTCAGAGCTTGGTATATGTTGTTCCAGGATCTTCTAGCTTTCAGAGTCTGGCTTGAAAAATCTGCAGATATCCTAATTGGTTTCTCCCATATGTAATCTGATTCCTTTCTCTTGTGACTTTTATTTATTTTTTTTTAATATTTATTTTTTTTAGTTTTCGGCGGACACAACATCTTTGTTTTTTAGGTGGTGCTTAGGATCGAACCCGGGCCGCACGCATGCCAGGTGAGCGCGCTACCACTTGAGCCACATCCCCAGCCCCTCTCTTGTGACTTTTAAAATTCTCTCCTTGGACTGAGGTTGTGGCTCTGTGGTGGAGCACTTGCCTAGCACTTGTGAGGCCCTGGGATCAATCCTCAGCACTACATAAAAATAAATAAAATAAAGGTATTGTGTCCAACTACAACTAAAAAAATAAAATAAAATATATATATATATAATAAAATTCTCTCCTTATTCTGTATGTTAGGCATTTTCATTATAATGTGCCCTGGTGTGGATCTATTGTGATTTTGTACATTTGGTATCCTGTAAGCCTCTTGTATTTGATTTTCCAATTCATTCTTCATGTTTGGAAAATTTTCTGATATTATTTCATGGAATAGATTGTTCATTCCTTTGGCTTATAACTCTGTGTCTTCCTCTATCCCAATAATTCTTAAATTTGGTCTTTTTATGTTATCCTGTAATTCTTGAATGTTCTGCTCATGGTTTCTTACCATCTTCACTGTGTGATCAACATTCTTTTCAATATTATATATTTTATCTTTATTGTCTGAAGTCTTGTCTTCCAAGTAGACTAATCTGTTGGTGATGATTTCTGTTGAGCTTTTAATTTGGTTTATTGTTTCTTTCATTTCAAAGTTTCTGGGTTGTTTTTTTCAGAACTTCTATCTCTTTATTGAAGTAATCTTTTGCTTCCTGTATTTGCTTATGTAGCTCTTTATGGAAATGATCTTTTGCTGCCTGTATTTGCTCTCTTATATCATCCTTTACTTCACAGAACATTTTAATTATGTACATCATGAACTCCTTCTCTGTCACTTCTTCTGCTGTGCTGGCCATGGATTCTAATATGTAATGTCTTGGTTTGTTTTGGGCACTTTCTCCCCTTGTTTTTTCATTTTGTTCATGTGTTTTCCCTTCTAGCACAGCGGATCCTGGGTGTTATAGTTTTTACCCTATAAGTTTATAGTGCCCCTGTAGGGTTCCAAAACCTCTCCTTTAAGGGGGAGAACAATTTTGAACAGATCCCAATACAAACAATATACAACCGTAAACCAAATAGCTGCTATAAAGATGTTTACAGTTTTGTCACATTATAAAGAAATAGTAAGTTCAATTATTGTCTACATGTAAACAGAAGATTTGCAAAAGGGTCTACAGTTTCTGATGGTGGACAAAGAACCTGGAGTAAGGTATAGGATGAGATGTTGAGGGGGTTGGAAGTAAAGAAATAGAGTTATTAGATATTACAAAGTGTGAAAGAGGAATCTAAAGAAGTTGGTTAATATCAGGAGAAGAGAGAGAAGGTGATTTAGGGGAGACAAGTAAGTGGGAAGACAGTAGAGTACAAAACAAACAAACATAAATATTAAGAAAAATAAAAAATGAAAAAAATGGAGACAAATAATATACAACACCATTGTAATATACTTTTCAGACATCCCAGTCCTCATTGGCCTAATTCATGAAAAGTATTTGTTTTCACAAATGTTGGTGATATGAGGGCAGGAAAAGAGAGAACGAGAGAAAAAAAATATATATCAAAGGAAGATATAAGGATTGTTTTTGTTGGGAGATCAGTATCTTTTCTGCTTCCCTTCTCATCCAATAGGTGGGGTTGTGTGTGTGCTGGTATGTCCACCCTCAGGATGGTGAAGGTTATTAGGGTGGAAGCATTGGTCTTGGGGCATAGCTCCTAGAGGTGGGGTATAGCAATTGCTGGTCCCTGATGGGAGACTGCACCCCAGGGATCTCCCTTGGGGGCCGCTTATGTGATGTGGGCACCTGGTTTTATCTCTTATATCGCCTGTAGGCCTTGCAATTCCTGATCTCTAATTTAGTCTCTAAACTGTATCTCGCTCACCCGCTCCCTTTCTACATCCCAGTGGGGAACCTTTCTCTCTGGAGGTCTTGTAGGCTGCATTCTGGGGGCTGTGCACCTGTCTCGGAGAGATGTTTTGTATTGGGCAGTTCAGGACCCAGTTTTGTGAGCTATGTACCAGTCGCATAGCCACAAGCACTGTGCCAGGTTAGGGGCTGCAGGGGAGAGGGGGGGAGTTGGGGACTTTCGGTAACTTGATATTGCTTCTAAGCCCCAGCCAGTGTTCCAAGCTGGGAGTTGTCCCAAATAAAGATGGCAACAAAGGTATCTGAAGATGGAGGCTTTCAGGGATGGGGTCTCAGGTCAGGTGGGGCCCAGTGGTGGTGTTAAGAGATGCAGCTCTGTGGCATGCAGTGTTGTGGATGGCAGCTGTCCCCATTTGCAGGCTACCACATGTAGGGGACTATGGCAGTTGTTGCAGTGCCCCAAGATGGAGGCAACTGGGGAGCCCCATGTTGGTAGATGGGGGTCCATATGGGAGGGGCAGTTGGAGTTCCTGCACATGGGCTGTGACAGGGTGTCCTGCATGGGAGTTGTGACTGAGATTCCTGCTTAGGTGCATAGCCAGGAGTCCTGCACGGGTGCTAATGCCGGTGATCCTACTCAGGCACTGGGAGGTCAGGCGTGGACAAGTGGCCAGGAGTCCTGTGCTGAGGTCTGGGGACATGTGCAGGCACCGCGGCCATGATTCCTGCATGGGAAAATCTGTCAGGGGTCCTGTAAACACTCACAGAGAAATAGTATTCCCACTACTTGAATCCCAGATCCCAGAGTGACACAGAATGCAGCCTCCTTCTAGTCTTCCATCTTAGATCCCCTTATTTTATTTTTTTAAAATATTTTTTAGTTGTGAATGGACCTTTTATTATTTATTTATTTATTTATATTTGGTGCTGAGGATTGAACCCAGGGCCTCACATGATAGACAAGTACTATACCACTGAGTCATAACCCAGCCCCAAGAGTATTTACTTTTATGGTAAATTTGCATTTAAGAATTATTCCTTCATTAAAGTTTAAAATCCAGAAGCCCTTTCCTTGAAGTCCCCTTTCTCTCTTTTTTTAATAATTTTAATTCTTGCAGTACTGGAATCATTCAACCCAGGACCTCAAACATGCTTGGCAAGTGCTTTACCACTGAGTTATAAACCCTTTTTTTCTTTCCACACCCCCCTCTTTTTTTTTTTTTGACAGTGTCTTGCTGTGTTGCTGAGGCAGGTCTCAAACTGTGATACTCTTGCCTCAGTCTCCCAGTTAGCTAGGATTATAGGTGTGCACAACTATGCTTGGCTTCCTTTTCCTTCTATTTGGATTCTCAGATAATTTTCCCAAATTGAATGTGTAACTGCATGTGCACATAACATATTTGTGCACATGAAATATGTTGCCTTTCAGAACTTCTAATAACTGAAATACTCCTACAGTCTCAGGCATGCTGGAGCATGAAACAATTCAGGGTGTGTCCGGGGTGAAGCCCACGGGGCTAAGAAAGCGAACCTCCAGTATTGCAGATGAAGGCACCTACACACTGGACTCCATCCTCCGACAGCTCAACTCATTCCACTCAGTCATGTGTCAGCACGGCATGGACCCAGAACTGATCAAGCAGGTGGTCAAGCAGATGTTTTATATTGTGGGGGCCATCACCCTGAACAACCTCCTCCTGCGTAAGGACATGTGCTCCTGGAGTAAAGGCATGCAGATCAGGTGAGCAAGTGGCAGCACCTGTGACAGCTTCTTTTTGCTGCCCAACTGACCTATCAGGGTGGGGGACACTGATGACTTGTTTCCAGTACATGCACCTGATTTGGTTGCCACGTAGCCAAGCAGCAAGGGACTTTCTCTTGCCTGGCAGTTACTGCTCCTTGTCAGTGCCTTGCCAGCACATTCTTCTCATTGCTTGATGGGAAACACCTTGCTCCACTATGAAGCTAACTTGTTTGAAGACATAGAGAGATGATGAAAAAATACACAAAGATGAGGTAGCTGCTTCCTCTCCTTTTGTGTGTGTTTTAATTATGCAATAAGAAAATACTATAGTGAAGATTTCTAATGCTCTTGGAAATATATTTTGGAAAAATACCCTTTGTAAAACCTAAGGCAACAAAAACAGATGTAATAGATCTTTTACTAACACTTGAAATATACCCCCCATATTTTAATAAAAGGTATACTCAATTTTATACCCAACTACTCTTCAGTGTATGCTCTTTATTGTAATAGACCTGATATTTTTTGCAAATATTTATTTTTAAATGGCCAAAATATTCACTGAGAGGAAGAAAAAGAATTTTTCTTTCAAAAATATTTAGTAACTCTCTCTCAAGAAACTTTAGTGTTTGTTTTCAGTTTTCCACTGGCTCACATCTACTCAGAATTTATATTAAGATAATGCCTTCTGTTCAGGGAGTAGTGGACCTTCTTTCTCTATAAGCTTTGCTTACAAATGTGAAGTCACTCACTGTAATATCAGAATGCCTCCTGTTTGTCTGGTTACTATGTTATGACTGTGTATTTTTGTTTATTTTAATCTTAGTGTGAGATCCACTGTCACTTATCTGGCCACCTTCTGAAACCTTAGCATCTATGTGATCTGTTCGTCTCTTCCCAATATGAGTCTTTGTCCCTTCCAAGTACTTTCCCTTGCCCTTCTCTTTTTCCATCCCTAGGCTTCCTCAGGACACCATCCCTGTTGCCCAAACCCTTCCCTGAAGAGGCTTGAGCATAGGCATATATCAGGGGAGAGTGGATCTGGTTATTCAGTTACCCAATTTGGAGCCGACCTTAAGAAAGAGAGTACATCAAGGATTATCAAGTCTCTGTACAAGGAACTCATCTCTGAACTTGTGAGAGAAGCTAGAAAGTGCTTTCTGGGCAGTTGTCTAATAAGGATAGAGCTATAATATGTATTCTATTTTGTTTATTAGCAAGTTCTATAACTTTTGCTATAATGACTTCATTTCCATGTTCCATTAAAGAGAATTTTATTCTCTTGTCATTTTATCTTACATAATTATGATTATAAACCTCATGACTATAATGATAAACTTTTAAGTATAGCTGATTAGATTTTAGAAAATTGAACAAAAATACTGCCTGTCATTTTAACTGACAAGGCCACACACAAAAAATTAAGACACTTATGACAGCATTCAGCAAATTTGCATTTTATCTTTCATCCTCTCTTTTTTTGGCATAGGTACAATGTCAGTCAACTAGAAGAATGGCTACGTGACAAGAATCTGATGAACAGTGGGGCAAAAGAAACCCTGGAACCACTCATTCAAGCTGCTCAGCTTTTGCAAGTAAAAAAGAAAACAGATGATGATGCAGAAGCCATTTGTTCCATGTGCAATGCTTTAACTACTGCCCAGGTAAAGCAAGTTTCCTTGTCATGAAATAATATCAGTCATCACAGGTGACCTTTGGAGAATAAAGAAATCTTCTGTCAATGCGCTTGTCTCTGCACTGACCTCATCTGTGATAGAGAAGATGTATCTCTACAGATCTTGAAGAAAGGAGATTTTTTTTCAGAAATTTATACATTTCAGTGCTAATTACAGACGTCTATAGTCAAAAGTCCCCAAATATTGAGTGCCTACAGTGTTCTGCACATGTTCCAGACCCTATAACCAGGAACAAAACAAAGTCCCTGCTGTCATGGAATATCATTCTCTTATATTCCACAAAATTGGTTTCATCACTATTTGATAATTGATTCTTTAGGTTTCTCCTTTTTAAGACAGATAATTCTTACTCCTTCAGTTTAGAAATGACTAAGTGAGCCTCCCATCTCAAGGCTTCATACTTAGTGTTGGAGAAAATACTTAAATAAATAATGAAAATTTTCTGCCTTCAGGGAGTTTATAGTTTAGGAAGGAAGACACAGATGCACCAAACTGACTCTAGCAAATTAGGGGTTCTAGCAAATTCTATAGTAAAGTCTGTAGTAAGTGCTGAGGGACAATAGCTGACTTCAAGGAGGTCCCTTTAAGCTGGGCACTACATTGAAGGAAGTGGGAGCATGGGAAGGGTATTTGAGGACAATGGCAAAAACATGAGGCCTTTAGGCATCAGCATGAACATACCCATTTTTGTTTTGCCTGGTTATTTTCTGTGCTGACTCAAACTTTCTTGATGTACATCACATATCTTATGGCATAGACATCTTCAGTTGCAGCCAATATAATTAAACTCAATTAGTAGATAGTTGGAATCAAGATTTGTAGCTTCCTAATGTGGAATTCATATTTACAAAAATTCTTGCTAAGAATAAAGAGGAACCACACCACTGAATAATGGTCTTGAGATTTGCTCCCCCTTTCTGCCACATTTGGAAAGTAAAAGTGCATTGAGGAAAGCCTGACTTCATAGAAGTTTGATGTCATCCAACTTTTAAAGAATGTACTCTAAAACTTAAATATGTCTTAAGCACATATTTCACAGAGTAAGGTAGACCTATGATTCATTAAAATTTAACAAATTTTATTTAACAAAATTATCCTACTTCTTAAAGTTCTAAGAGTTGCCTCTTAGGGGCTGATTCCTAATTCATTTTGTCACCTACAACCTGATAAACATGTCTGCTTTCTCAGTCACATCTCTCTGGTGCTTTATGTATTCTTTACCTATAGATCAGCATGGTCTGGAATTTGTTACTTTCAGTTTAATGAATTTAAATTTAAATAGCCACATGTGCCTAGTGACCACTCATGGCAAAGCTTTAAAAAAATACCTTGAAAATGAAAATATCTTTCTATTTTATATGGCAGTTATTTGTGTATAGGGGTGGGGTGTACTGGGGATCAAATCCATGGCCTTGTACATGCAAGCGAGCACTCTACCACTGAGCTTCAACCCAACCCCAGTGATTTGCTTTTGTTAAAAAAGAGATATGATCATTTTATAAAAGGAATTAATTTGACATTTTTAAAGACCTTCATACCCTTTAATTAATTGGCTAATTTCTTTAGAGGACTTTGTTGTTATTCATGTTTTTAAAAACACAATTCAAACCAGGTGCTGTGGTGCATGCCTATAATTCCAGTGGCTTGGGAGGCTGAGGCAAGAGGATCACGAGTTCAAAGCCAGCCTCAATAACACTTGGCAAGGTCCTGAGCAATTCAGTGAGACCTTGTCTCTAAATAAAATATTAAAACAGGACTGGGGATGTGGCTCAGTGGTTAAGCCCCCCAGTGTTTAATACCCCATACCAAAAAGCAAAGAAACAAAAATACCATTTAAAAGAAATAATATTTAATTATGTTATTTTTAATGTGGCCATATATATATATTTATGTGAAGAGAGCAAATTGTAGAATATTATTAATAAAACAAACCAATTTGCATAAAAAATAGCATTTTCCAGAATATATATATATAACATTGCTCAGGACATGGTTAATAGCTGCTACTTTGGGAGACTGAAAGGATAGGAATAAGAACACTTTTATTTTTTTTTTGCATTATGGTTTTTGAATAGTTTTCTAAATTTATATTGCTTCTTAAAATACTATACAAATATTACATTAATAATTCTGACAGAAATTCAAATAACAAAAGTAAATGTGCCTTCCTTCTTCCCTCCTATCATAACTCACTCCCGAGTTGAAAACTACACACAGAAACTTTAAGTTTTCTAGATTATGAATATCAAGTGTATATTTCATAATATGCCAAAAACTTTGATCTTTTCATTTCTCATAGATTGTCAAAGTGTTGAATTTGTATACTCCAGTTAATGAGTTCGAAGAAAGAGTCTCCGTTTCATTTATTCGTACTATACAGGTAAGAGCCCCCAGTTTTCTTTTTCTTTAGCTCACCAACGTAAGCTTCTAAGTGTTATTGGAAGGTTAATGTGTTTTTATCTTTTATTATATTATCTTATTTTAAAATAACTTTTTAACTATTTTGATAACAGTTTATTGAGTCAATGAAGTGATTTTAAAACAAACATTCTTCATTAATTGAGGATTTTGGGGGTAGAAATTTTGGCAGAAAAAAACTATCTTACAGATTCTGATGCCCTGTTCATCTTTTTTTTCTTAATCTTCTCAGATGCGTTTACGAGATAGGAAAGACTCGCCTCAGCTGCTCATGGATGCTAAACACATCTTTCCTGTCACCTTTCCTTTTAACCCATCCTCCCTCGCACTAGAAACCATCCAGATTCCAGCTAGCCTGGGCCTGGGATTCATTTCACGGGTCTGAAAGTGATGTCCAGGCAAACAATGACAGTATACTCCTTGTCTGGATAAGAACCATTATTTCCAGTAAGCTACTGAAAAATACATTTTTAAAGAGAAAGTACTGATTACCTCTCAAACAAGAAGGTATTAACTGGAAATCTCCCTAGAGGCTTTCATCATCTTGGAAGAAAGATAGGCTCCTTTGTGCCATGTTACCTTTAAAGCAACACTCATTCCTGCTCAGCTGGTATCCTGAGTTTACATGCCACTGGATGATGGAAGGAAGAAAGAAAAGAAAGGAAGGCAAATGTGTCAACATTTATTTTAAATCCTTAGCACTGCATTTAGTGGTATAGAAAACATAAATTCCATATGCATAGGCTGTTGTTAGGAAGACAACAACAAAGAATGATCTCTGTGCTAAACAGAATTGAAAGAAAAATCACCATTGAATACATATCAGTTTAGGAATCAGTTATGTTGATATTATCAAACTGGATCAAATAAACTGGCAATATGTAAAGTAGTTGGTCAAGTAAATTCCTTATTTGTGTCACTATGATATAGAACTACTAAAAGAATGTTGGTTTGCTATATAACATAGATGTTCATCTGTACTGTAGCTTACTGAGCATTTTAAATTGCTGCTACATAATATCTCCTTAAAATGTAGATGATACTCTTATTAGGCACTACAACAATAAGCTTCTATTTTATCAACTCTGTTTACAATTCAATCAGATCAGTTTTAACTGGATTATATGCAAATATCTACAGAGTCACCTGCACAAGTAGCAGACACTGGAAAATCATGTAATATGACAAAATGCTTGACATTTAGGGGTAGGAATAGACAAATTGTCTATTGTTGATGTCACTGTTTATTCAGGATGTATTACATTGACATGCTCATTAATTTTCTCTGGGTGGATATTACATCAGGGTACAGTGTTTTGTGAAGTGACTTTATTTTAGTTCCCAGATCTGATTCCTGTAGTATATATTTTCAACTTTGACAGGTTTTCTTTCTTCTTAATTCACTAAGAATCAATCTCAATCACTATGTAGAAAGGATTGTCAGAATTTTCATGATTCGGGTCTTGAAACTTTGATTAGCCTATAAATTATGCAAAAGAAGATATATAATAAATATTATGATTCAGGTTTTTTAGACTTTGCAACTTCTATAAATGTTCTCAGATACCACTAGATACTTTAAAAAGCATCATATTAGAAATACCTTAAGGAGACTTATATAAAAAATATATGAAGATTGTGGAATTTTATAGAGAATTTGGTTCAGTAAGACTCAAATTCTATAGGTTTTTAATCTGAAATTCTAAATAAACAATTCTCCAGTTTTTCTAGAAATATTAGTAAAATAAATCCTTCAGGTTGTACAAAAGTAAATTACTAGCTTTCATCAGAAATTCTGGTTCTTAATTATAATTATAATCATAGATTTATGTAATTTAACTGTTAGATGGTCTATAAAAATGACATATCTTATTAAAAATATGTGCAATATTATTTATGGAAGTCAAACAGTTTCAAATCAGTGATAAAGATTGTATTAAAAGATATCATCTATTAACTTATTTGAGCCTCAATTTCCTTGTTTATAAAATAGAAGGGTTGGACAGCTGATTCTTAAGATCTCTTCCATATCTAAAATTCTCTCCTTTCAGCACTTAGATCCTAGAGAAAAAAAGCCACAATTTAGTCCATCCTCTCTTGGAAAGACCAGTGTGTAGTGCCTGTCATTTCCTTAGGATTAATAAAATGCAAACTCACAAGTTTATGTAGCTGTAACCTTTCTTAAATGTACATGATTTATGCACATGTGCATTTCAAAAGGCCCATGCTTTAGAAAGCCCTATTATATTGTTTTATTTGAAAGTAATTTAAATTTTATTACATCATGTACTGCTTTATTCAGTTTTAAAACATTTATTTTCAACATGAACCTCCCAATTCTAATCTAATCATATTCTGTTTTCCTGATTGCCAATGTGGTTTCAATAAACAATTAACTCTTCTAGACATTTAGCTAGTGCTAAATGTGTCAGAGTCTAACAGCACAGGTGTGACATGGGCAGGGGAGTTGCCAAGAAAGTACAATCATGGTACAGGCTGTCCACCTTAGCCCTGGCAGTCCTCCCTGGTCCTCTCCCAGCTTGATCCTATGTGGCATGACCCATGTACACCACACTTTATCCTGTATTCAAGATCACATGGTAGCTCCCACTTTCATTGCTTCCTTTTTCCTTACTCCTGGCATTTCATGTCCTAAAGCATCTGTGGTCTGAGACTTTCCCTCCTGTCCTCTGGTTTTCTGCTGTCAAGTGCTGTGGCCACTGTTCCACATTAGACCAGAGCTTCCACCGCCATCCCATGTAGTTTCTCCTATTCCAGTGATGGTGGCACAAAGTTTCTTCTATTCCAGGGCTTTCATTCTCTCCAAGGCCTCCCCAGAACCCCAAATAGGGATCAGGATTAACTTTTCTTGATAGCCTGAAGATTTTTAGTATAACAAGAATATCTTACAACCAGGGAACCTCAAGAGCTAGAAATGACTCTCTGCACTACTTTGTTGAGGATGCACCAAGATTCTGCTGACCATGGGTACCCATTAGCCAGTTTGAGAACTGCTCGCTCTCCCTCTTCCCACACCTTTTCATTCACCTTCATATACACACACCCAGCTTTTTGTCTGTTCTCTTTACTCTTCCCTTCCCTCTGCTTAGTCATACATCCCATCAGCTGCTGACTAGCAGGCTGCCTGTGCACTGAAGGTAGACATGTGGAGTCTGTTTCCATTTGCCCTACTTGATCTTCCTTGTGACTTATCTTTGCATCAATCTTTGCACAGATTTTGTTGTTCTCACTTCTCTGCAATACATTCTTTTCGTAGTTCCTCTGTGACACAGTAGGAATGCAAAGGAAGAGACCTTGGAAGCCACAACAATCTCCTCTTTCCAATAGTCATCACCCCTCTCCCATTAGGTCCAAGCTCAACTCACATCCTTGTAATGCAAAGAAAAAAGTAGAAGCAGTTCCCTTCCTGTGGTTTTTCTTAGGTTAAGGATTCCATCTGCCTTAGAGGAGGAAAGATGAATATGGCATAAAATCCACCAAGTATAACATCATGGTTCTTTTAGAGGTTTTAAAAATTCCCCACATACCTGACACTGCTTTCCTCAGGCACAAAAGTACAAAAAGTGTATCCCAGACCCAACCACTGGAAGATTGGGGATCAGTTTCAGTTTGGATGATTTGTTTTATTATCTTTCATTTCAATGGATAGTTGAGAGTTGGCTCTTTTTTCATAATTATGTAATATAAATCAAGTCCTTAATAATGTAGTGGAAAAAGCTATGAAAATACTTCATTTAAATTTCAGTGTAGTGATTACTGTGAGAAATTAACTCCCTGGTAACTCCAGGAAAATAGGACCTGTCACCATCACAAGAAGTCCTCATGATTTCTCTCTCCTTCCTGTTTCTCTCTCTCTCTCTCTCTCTCTCTCTCTCTCTCTCTCTCTCTCTCTCTCTCTCTCACACACACACACACACACACACACACACACACGCATATCCTGAGTCACAGTTCACAGAGTTCCTCAAGTGGCATAGCCAAGGATCTAAGTTGACTGCTTAGGATAAAACAGAAAGCAAACATAGCATGTGATGCTACATGGTCCTGGCAAAAGCAGTGCCGAAGCAGTACCTGTCTGGGTGTGCTTTACGCCCATGCTTTTCCTCTGTGTTACCTCATTCTTCCTCACAGCAACGCGATCAGGAGATAGAGCAGCTCCTACAGTCCTTTGCTGGTGATAGCTTGAGATAGCGGCAAGGTCCACGCTTTGCTTGGGGTCACACTGCCCTCCAGCAGTTCTCCTGGCTCATACAGAGGAGTGGTGTATGGCAGATGCAGGACAAGAAACTTTAAAGTCATGAGGTTCTGTCCTGTCCCTCCTGGTGCTGTGGGGTGGGCCCTGTGCCAACAAGAGGTACTGTTTATCAGAGTTAGCAATTGGGCATATGGGGATGAACAAGTAATAAGTGCCAGATTATTTGTTCTAATGAGACCAAGCACCCAGTGCCAGGAGTGTTTGTTTGTTTGTTTGTTGTGGGGGTATAGTTACCTTCTATAACTAGGTTGGACTTTTGCCGTGACCCACTGCTCCCTGAAAGGATACAGTACTCTGAATGTAGGCATTAGTTAGTAGTGGGCTGTCTGAACCAAAATGACAGGAAGCAGTGAAAGCCTCCAATGGAGAGAGGCAGGTCACTCTCCACATGCCCCTCAGAGTCTCTGTTAAAGCCACCAGGTGATCTGTGCCACTTGCAGAAACCTGCAGCCCCAGGCCACCGTCCCTAAGTCAGGACCTCTGCACAGAATTGCCCAGGACACTGGGTACCTTCTGAAGGCTGTCCCCCAGGCAGGCCATATGCAAGTCAATGTGTACTTGACACTGGTGTGTGCATGCTGCAGATGTTCACTTTGGGGTAGGAGCTATGCTGTGTTGCATGCGCGTTAGGCTCCTGGATTGCTGTAGCCTCTGTTCATGGATAAATGCATTGTAAAGTGTTCCTCGGCCGTGCTGTGAGGCCGCCTTAACCCTTGCTCCCTTCCCTTCTAGAGCTGCCTTAAGTTCACCAGAACTTGTCCTCTGTAAGGGATATCTTGCCTGGAGAGGATACCTTGCCCTGTTTCTCAAGGTTTTGTGAGGGTTTTGACTGGGTGTGACCCCCAATCACTAATTCCTTTCTCCCCTTCCTGCATGACCTGCCGCCTCCTGTTACTTTCTTCTCCCTTTCCTTTCTACCATTTCCCAACAGGGATTAGAACTGTGGAGCAGCAACAATCTCAGAGCCAGTGAAATGTCAGCTTAGAGAATGTTCCTGAGTCAGTGAGATTCTCTGTCACAGGAAGGCCAATGATCATGCGGAAGAAAAGTTAGTCTTGGTAATTTGTGAATGTCTTTTTCCACTAACCCTTTCTTAATAAAAGTAAAAGGTACAACTCTTAAAAATTTTAATGGACATTCTTTAAATATAGAAGGTTGAATAAAAACAGGAAGGTAGTGCTATCAGTTCTAATCCATTGTATTACCCTTAAGTTAAACAAATTAACCTGGAATTGTGGTGGATTTCTCAATAGATCAAGAATGGAAAATTACTATGTAAAATATCTTCAAAAATGCATTTTATACATTTTTTAATTTTTAATTTGGTTTAGCTAAAAAATGTTCATTAGCTTAACTTAATGAGTATTACTAGATTATAAAATGTCTGAAAATGACTAACATTTCCTTAGTATTTAATATTGTTTGAAATATTGAAAGAGAAAAATTGAAGTTGAAACTGATGTATATAATTAAATGCCTGGTAAGTCAGGACATTTTTATGCATTTTTCAGTCAATATTTTCAGATGTCTTATTGCTGGCCTACATTTTAACCTGTCTAAGTCACATGAGCCATTTTTTTTCTAAATGTCAATGTGTACATTGTAATTTATGATTCCTAACTATGTATTTTTGTGGGATCCTGGAGGATCATTGACTATTTTATGTTCTTGAAAATTTTAAATTGCTCTAACAGTGTTGCACAGAAACGAGCTCATGACACCTAATATATTGTATTTTATTTATTAATTTACTATGAAATGAAGTTTTTCAAATTTTTTCCTAGTGGATCTGGAGAAGTAATTCTTTGATCTGCATAGGAAAACATAATACAGTTAATCAATGAAAAGTTCTTAGACGAAATATTCATTCATTAAAAAGAAAGCAGAAGTACCAAGAGGTGAAAGTCATTACCAACTAACTATAATTTTAAACTAAACCCATTTCAGCATATCTCACATGAACTTTTTTAGAATAACTTAATAATTCATCTCATATCAACAAAAGCCTTTGAAACATGGGTTTTCACTAGATTATCACCTAGAGCTAAATGAAAACCAAAACAATGTCAGAATGAGATTTATGCTCTAAATATGTAGTTGTCTAATGTTGTGCTTAGTGTATGTGTGTCATTAATGCTGTATTCTCCTAGCTATTATAGAAAATTGTTCAAATAAAGATATGGATATAAAGGAGTTTTGTTAATGCGTTATGAATAGTCCTGCTTCACATTTTAAAACATTAAAGAAAAAATTGCGGGGGGTGGAGTAGTGAATGTAAATATAACTTTTCCTCCTGAGAATATTCTAAGTAGTCTTGGGGATTTAAAAGTTGGCAAGTTGGGCTGGGGATGTGGCTCAAGTGGTAACGTGCTCACCTGGCATGCTCTGGGCACTGGGTTCGATCCTCAGCACCACATAAAAAATAAAAAAATAAAGATGTTGTGTCCACCGAAAACTGAAAAATAAATATTAAAAACTCTCTCTCTCTTCTCTCTATCTTTAAAAAAATTTTTTGGCAAGTTTCCTTTCTATACTGGAAAACATAGTGGTTTTTTTGTTGTTGTTTTTTGTTTTTGGTGCTGGGGATTGAACCTAGGCTCTTGTGCATGCAAGACAAGCACTCTACCAACTGAGCAATAGCCCCAGCCCCATAAATATAGTGATATATATGTAATGAAGAGAATTGCCAAACACCTAAACAAAGAGCAGACAGTAGAGGAGAGGCAGCCTCTGACCTTCAGGGGGAGTCATGCCTAACTATCTGGATTCTCTGAGAAACAGACATAGCCAAGGGGAATTTGGTAGTGTCATGTGGGACTTTGGAAAGATTGAACACATGATTTGTATCAAAGGTTTACTTTCCAAAAGGTAGACAACATTCTAAGTGTGGAACAGAGATCAAAGAATAAGAATGCAGATACATGTGGTGAGCCGTGTTTGTAGACCACTGCCGCCATTAGAAGATGGCGCCGGTCTCCGTTGTGGATCTTGGTAAACAACTCCTTATTAGGGACGCTGTCCCTCAACACCCTATGAGAAAACCCCGCGTGGCAGCTTTGGATTGGACTTGAGTAAGCTTTATTAGGCTATGCTTGGACGCTCGGCGGGGGGTCACTAGAAGATGATACATGAAACAAGGCCTGAATAAACTGCTGAAAGAAGAATCCTGTGTCGTGTTTTCCCTTGCCGGCGAGGGGTCGCGACAATTGGTGGCCCGGACGGGGAATTATATTCCTCGAACCCAGGATCCAGAACTTTCAGCAGTCAGGGTGGTGCACCGGTAAGTTCCCAGGTAAAGTGGGAATCTGCAAGCAAATAGCGGGGCGCTCTCTCTGTAAATAGAGAGCGGGAAAAAGGACGCTCCCCTGTAAAAGGAAGAGAGCGGGGAATTCATAGAACAGAACGCTCCCCTGTAAAAGGAAGAGAGCGGGGATTTTTGTACTTTCACTTTCTTTATAGCTCTAAAAACATTATGGGCGTTGCCTCTTCAAGCCCAATTTTGTTGGCCCTAGATGGGTTGCTACGTTCAAAAGGACTTAAGGTAAAGCAGAGCACTTTGCAGATGTTTTTGAGAGAAGCTGCCGGGGCCACAGCCGCGGTCTGGGCATGAGGATGGCGGTGGGCTCAGTCAAGATGCAGCCGCCATGCGAGAACCCTGCCCTAACCGCGGCGGTGGCGGCGGCGGACAGCGCTCTGCGCCGCAGTCCCAGCGCCCGCGAGCCGGAGCGCGAGCAGCCGCCGGCGTCGCTGCGGCCGCGGCTGAAGGACCTGCCTGCACTGCTGCGGAGCGGGCTCACGCTGTGGAGAAAGCGGAGCGCCGCCGGGGGCCGTGACCGGACGGAGCCGGTGTGGGTTCCAGAACGCCTGACAAGAAGAGTCCCGACAAATACATCTGAGTTTAATATAACCACTTTGGCCATTACTTCCCAGGTGTTAATTCCGTTGTCTCCTTCTAATGAGACCTCTAATGCCACTCATTTTAAGGCTTCTCCTTATTGCACCCCTGAGTATGGCTTCCCTCCTATATTTACACCTTGTCAAGATCACTCTTGGGAGAAACATCAGGTCGCTAAAGGTTTCTCCCTTTCCCCCTCTCTTAAAAGATATTTGTATAATGTTTCCAATAATAATTCCTCCATAGGAGCAGGTTGGTCTTGGTTTCAATGGTTGATTTCCAATGAAAAGGGAGCCACAGCTGATATTTCCGCTTTGGCTCAATTACGAGGAGTCCAAAGTTGGCTGTTTAATGTTTCTGGTAGTACCCAAGACTCGGAGCGAGGTAGGAGGCTTAAAATTACTGCAAATAATTCACAATTATCTAATGCTACATTACCCTCCACAGCAGTCTGTCTCCAATCTCCGTTCCTGTTTCTTTTGGCTAATGTTACATCACAGGGGATGCTTAATTGTTCTAATATTACCTGTTATTTGAGTGTTGGAATGGCTCCTGGACTATGGCAGTGATTATGAAAATTCCAACCTTTGTCCCGATCCCGGTTACTGCAGATCCAGAGTCTTTTCCTATTGTTGAACTGATTAGAGCCCGTAGAGATTTTGGAATTACGGCAGCTATAGTGACAGCTGTGGCGGTATCTGCTGCTGCAGCAGTTACAGCTGGAGTAGCCATGGCCAGCCAGGTACAAACTGCTGCCACTATTAATCAGGTTATTCAACAAACATC